CCCGCCCCGCACCCCTGTGAAGCCCCCTGCCTGCCCTCCTCCCTGGACACCCTTGCAATGCCTGCTCGGGCCAAACTGTGGTCGAGAGCAGGCACCAGCCCCCCCCCCGCCCCCCAGACACTGGATCCGGGCACCGGGATGCTCGGAGAGGTGCCAAAATTAGACCCTGGCGAAAGAGCAGCGTGACGAGCCTTCCTCTGTGCCGGGGCACAGATCTGCTCCCCCCGGCGAGAAGTGAGCAGGCGGAAGGCACCGGGGAGACTTGTAACCGTATGTTTATTATTCCACGTGGAAAGTCATTAAAATGATTACACGGAGGCCTGACGATATAATCACGTACATCGGATAAGAACATCGACACTGATAATAGAAAAGCAGAACTGGCCGCTTTGCTACGGCTTCGTACCAACGCGATTCCCACCCGCTCACGAAGGAGCCCGGCTCTGTTCTCATTGAAGCCAGCGCAGCAGAGACGTCTCCAGCGAGAGCTTCTTCCAATGACTTCAACAGGAGCAGACCCTCCTCTTCCTCTCCCTCCCTCCCCGCCTCCCCCCTCCCCAGTGACAAGTGCTACAGGTTAAAAAGATGGGCTACATATTAAATATAGGGCATTACCTTCAAGTAGGGCTGGTATAGTACACAAATAACCACATTATTTGGTATCACTAGCATTTGTTTTTAATGTCCATCGTAAGACACCATTAAAAAAACCAACAACTTTAGCCTTCTTTATCTACAAAGATCTTTGTTCTCATCTCCTTAGTTGTTTGTTGTTATTTTACCCTGCACATACAAGTATTAGAAGCATTATTAAGAATTGGATCCTTCAACACATTTAAGAATTATATTATTATAACAAATAAGACCAAAAATTAGATTTTATAGTTAAATATTCTGTGAGCCAGACAAAGGGTTTTACTGTACAAGCGATTGTGCATTTTTTTTAAAAAAGCAAATTATAGTGCAAAGCAAAAAACGTTGGCCTGTCTTGCGACCATTTGCATACAATAGAGGTGCATATATTTACACCTTCACATGACAATATGTCATAAAAATAACATCGTTGCCATTCTTTTTATTATTTTACTCTTTAAATTCACTACGAACAGTCTTAAATTAACCTAGTACTACGAATGCCTTGTTTTCTTTGTGCTTTCAATCAGTGGCGCGATCGGATGATAAACGTAAATGCATCAAAACACAGGCTGCCGTGGTCCAGTTTCTACAGCTGGCGAGCACCGGAGAGGTGCTCGCTGTCGCTAAGGCAGATGAAGGTTGCAGTTTTGCTGGGGTAGGGCTTTTTTTTTTATTATTATTATTATTATATAAAAGAGTTGTTCTTCTTGTTGCTTATTTAACTCACGAGTGGTCATCGCAGCTTTCCAACGAAGCCAGGATGTCTTGCTCCAGTCTTGACGTGGTAGTGCAATTACAACGCTCTGTACCTCAACCGAGTGCTGACAAGCTGCCAACTGAGATTTGGTGATAGGCGGCGCGGCTGTAATGGTGTAACTTAGACAGAGGGGCTGGGAGGGCACCTGTGGGGTTTCAATTTTCTTATGCTCATGCAAAAAACCAACCAAACAAAAAGGCTTGGTTACTGGTGGCACTGTGGGCTGGGGACTGTCCCCGTCCCCTTGCCACAGGGTAGGCTCCGGAGGGCGGTGGGTACTGCCGTTACATGCTCCCTGGGATCCTGCCCGCGCCCCCTCAGCCCTGCCGGCGTGAGGAATCCCGAATCCAGCCCGAATTCCCACACCAGCAGAAAGCACAGCTGGCTTGCAGGAGGCGACGTAACCCTGCGGCGTGCGTCAGAGCCAGGCCGCTAACCCGGCCTTGGGGGGAGCCCCTGCCACCTCTCCGGCTGCCTACGACCTCCCGTCGCGGTCCCGTTCGGGTTGCAAACCCTTTGGTATCAGCTGCGAGGGTGTGTGGTGCCCGGGAGACCTGGTTCCTCCGAATGCCACGTGATGCAACCAGCTACCAACGGGCCGGCGGTACCCTTAGTGCCCCTTCTTCAGCTTATTCGTCTACAGCAAGATACCCGTGCTCTGGGAAACTCGGGGGAAAGGAAAGGAGGGTGAGAGGATGGAAAACGCTAGATAACATTGCTCCGCAATATTCCCACCACCAAGGGACTGGGTAGAAATTGCTCCTTTCTCCAAATCTCAGTTAGAGCTTTCAGTATGAACTGACAAGTGTAAAAGTCATTTCTTGATAAAAAAAGTCATCATGTGTCAATCCGCTCTGGGTGAAAACGTGGGAAAGAATCATGAGACAAATCTGATGCTTTGCCACCAGCTGCATGTGTCGCCACTCACAGAGGATGAAAGGAAGACCCGGAGACCGGTGGCAGGGTCATGCCAAAGGCTCCCGAGTCCCTTTTGCAGCTAACGCGCTTGGAAGTGCATCTCATACATCTTGGATTGTCCTGAACGCCGCCTTCGCTTCAGCCACCATCACTGAGATTTGCTAAGAGGAGCAAAGAATTGAATGGTGAGGTCAGGACAAAAGAGCAAACAAAACAAAACAAAACACGTCTCGTAAAAAAGTACATCTCATATGTAAACATACAGGGAAGGGGGGGTCTGTCGGGCACGGGATCAACCACGTTACTGTTTTAAAAATGACGACAACGATAAAAATGAACAATACAACCTCTGTCGTCAACAACAAATAATAATAATCACATCACAGCTCTTGTTCACATGGCTGATGCCGGCCGACCCGCGAGGAGCGCGCAGCCCCCGCGCGTGCCCGAGTCCCCGCGGTTGTGCTGTAAACCAGACTCTCACGTGCCGCGTGCGGCTCTGGCGTCGTCCCGGAGCTCTTTGGTGGTCAGGGGCCCTACACTGGTGTGGAGGGAAGGAGAGGAGACAACGGGGTTTTTTTTCTTTTTTTTTTTTTCCTTTTTCTTTTTTCAGTTCAGTCTTCCTGCACTGGCAGAGAGATGGCTTGGGCGACGCCCTGGGCTTTTCTCTTCTCTGAAACACTTTGCAGAAGAAGGGTGAGCTTTTCGTAATTTTTGAATGCTTTGTGTGGGGAAGAGGGTGCGAGTGAGATGACTGAGAAGTGTTCTGCAAGAAACAAACATCTGATTCCACACATCCTTTTTTTTTTTTTCCCCCCTATGTACAATCCACATACTTAAAACATACGAAAGGAACCACATCAAGCGACAAATTCAAGCCTCGTGGACGTTCATCTTGAAATGTAACATAGGTCCTGGCCCGTCTTCGCTTGATGTTTGCCCGTGCTTGCATGCAGAGGATCCTGGTTTGCTTTTGGTTTGGGAGACTTTGGTTTACCTTTTCCCTAGGCATCATTTTGCTATATTCACTACCAAAAGGAGTAATGTAACGGCGGCTGATTAAGTTAAAGCTATCGGTCCCCAGTTGAGTTCCTCCTAGTAGGGTCTCCAGACCGACTCATCCATCCTCCCAGTAGTCGTCATGGTTGTCGGCGAATTACTGTGGCTCCCGTCCGCATCCACCCCGTCGTTCTGATTGCCCAGGTTGGGATTCATTAAGTTGTTCCCCGCTGAGGCACTTGTACAAGAAGAAAGCATCCGGGTGGGGGAGCGCTCGCCGCCCGCCACCATGGAGAACTGGTAGGAGCCCGAAGATGTGCCGTAGTACAAATGGTAGGGAGAGGGGTTGGCCTGGAAGGGTCCACTTTGGTTTTGTGTGGAGCCGGGGTAAGGGGGTGGCAGGTAAGTGTGGTGGAAACGCGTCGTGGTGGGCATGCTGGTCATGCTGATGCCCCCGATGCCCGTGGCAGAGGGCGTCGCGGTGTAAGGGAAGGCAGCAGACATGGCGCCGGGGTAATGCATCCTCGGGTCGGAGAACCTGGTCTCGGTGAGAGCCGGCAGCGTCGGGAAGGAGCGATCGAACTGCCGGGGGTCAGAGAAGGGGCTCAGATCTGACGTGCCTGTGGGGTGGAGGACGAAAGTGGGTGGTTAGAGCGCTATCCTTGAGGCTTGTAGAGTTTGTCCTATAGCCTGGGCCATCCCCTGCCCAAGGGATTAAAGTCAGAGGGAAAAGCATCTCTTGGATCTGCCAGGGAAGAGAGCTGGGGAACTTAAATACAAAAATCCTAAACCCATTTGTTTAAGTTGTTCCCATTTCCTGTCCTAAAATTTGTTGTTTCCTATCCAAGAAGGGACACGACTAAGCTGACTTCTCTAGGGGTCTATTCATCTCTGGCAGATTAAAAAAACACACCCCATAAACACAGAAAAAAAATGTTTAGCCATTACATCAGCTGTGTAGTAAATAAATGGATGCAGGCCCCAGACGGCCGGTCCCTGAGATAGTCGGTGGTGTATATACACACACACGGAGACAGAGAGGAAAAGCTGGAGTCCAGACCAGCCTGCTAAGCCTTCTTGTGGGTGGCCTGTTCGTGCCGATACCATCAGGGGATGGAGCTGATAAACACACAGCTGAAAACTCCCAAGCTAGGAGCCACACTATCCCTCTGCTTCATTTCTCTGTGTATTTTTCTCCTTCCAGAAGGATAAAGAGAGTGAGAAATTCAGGCTTTCTTCTGCTGGGGGAAGGGAGGCTTGAGTCAGCATGGTGGGGACATTACCCAGCTCCCTCGGATGCTGGAGCCCCCATGCCTTTTCTTGGGGGGGTATAAACCCAAAGCGGGTCGTAACCAGCCAGCCAGCCAGGAGAGGGACGTCTGCCCGGTGCTGCTGGGTCCCGTCCTCCTGCGGGAAGCCCAGGTTAGAGAGGGGAATCCAGACCACAAGATCCTTTGAGGACCTCAAGGTTTTTCTGTGGCTACCTCAGCCGTCCCGAGGCTGGTGCCATCTCCTTACAGAGCCCAGCACACCTCTGGCCTTGGCACACCTGAGACAGAGAGAAATGAGTTTTGCTCTCCAAGGAGAGAAGCGAAACCCCTGTCCTTGAGGCCTCAGCGGCCCACGCCGAGCTCTGGCACTGGTTATGCAGGAGGACATGGCTAGAAACACTGCGATTGTGCCTTTCTCAGCCTTTTAACACCCCTCGTGAGATGACAATCTCTAGAAAGAGCAGTTCTAGCCCAAAGCGCTTAGCCGGCGCACCGAGCTCAAAGCCTTGGCCAGCTGGAGGTGGCTCTTCATCCTTTGTTTGTTCCCAAGACGCCTATTTTTCCCTTGTTAAAAGCAGGGGGATTGTGCCTTTCTGCTTTGGTAGTGGATGTCATCTGGCCTCAGTGAATTTTTTTTGTAGCATTGGCTGGATTTTGAATCGACTCAGAGCAAGAAAATGTGTGAGATGAGTATGATAAACATGCTTGTTGGTTTTAGATATGCATATGTATATAGACACACACATTCATACAACTGTATATTTGCTATGCATGCATAGAGATGTGTGTTTTAGATATATTTCTTAAGATGAATCATTTTTAACTTCTCAGGGCTGGTGTTCCAGGCCCTGCAGCATTTCCCCAGGAAAAAATACTCGAGCTAATCCCTTCCAGCTAACTAGTGGCAAGGGCATGCTCTGGAGGAGCAGATAGGGAGGGGATCTGATCTGAACCCTCTTTCTCATCCCAGGTGAGTCCTTCAGCCATCGGCCGCTGGAAGGAGAAAGGGAGGAGAGGTTCCTCCCTCCCCTCCAGCCGTTTTGCGGGCGATCAGCAGCGCCTGCCTTCCCACGCAGGCTCCACGGAGGAGAAAGGTGGGGGAGCACCTGGTTTGTGAACGTGGCTGTGGCTTTGGTGCGAGATAAGAAAGGAGCAGCTCAAAGCTGTCACGAACCGCACCGCTCTGCACACACCCGGGGCTGGATGCAGCCGAGCCAAGCCAAGCGTGGAAGTGGCTGGGCCGTCCCTCTTGCATGCCATGTGGAGGGGTAGCGTGCTCGGGCTGGCTAGAAAAGCACAACGCTGCGAAAAATGCTCACAACTGACCAAACCAACCTGATTTCACATCTCAGCCTGCCAGCTCTGCCCCATCCCAAAGCCATGCTACTGCAAAAGCAGCACCAAAACTGCTGTCAGGCGCTGTGAGCTGAGGTTTGGAGACCAGCTCTGCAAGAAGCAGCTTGACCAGAGCCCGTAGCTTTAGCAATCCAGCAGCATCACAGGTAGGACCACGGGACAAAAATCCTGGCTGAACTTGGACTGGAGAGAAAAATTACTATTGTCTGAATACCCGCTCCTCACACGCGCGCAGCTCTGCCACTGTGGTCCAAGTAGCTGGACTGTTTTGCCATGCACTGAGAAAAAGCAGTCTCGAAATCCCCCCCCAGCCCCCAGAAAACCCAGACTGCTGCTTGCTACCTTCCCGAGAGAGCAGATGACAATCTCCAGCAATCAGACCGCAGTCCCTCGTTAGCTTTCACATGCCCATAAATAATATTCCATAAAATGCAAATCGAAATAAAACGTAAGTGCTCAGGGCACATTTCCCTTTTCCTCTATAACACACTCAAAGGTTTTGTCTTTTTAAAGGCTACATTTTATTGGCCTGAACTTGCAACGTTTGGCAATGGGTCCTTGCTACTAATTTAGATGCAAGCGTGTCAGAGTGTTGATTACAGGCTGTGTGATGAGCAAAGCACGACGATACCGTCGGGTCTAGAGACACTCCGGCTATTGCCTGCAAAACACCGGCGGGCGGCGGGCGAGCTCTCCAGGTGCCAGGCTTTGAACCCCCCCCGGCCTCTGACAGACAGCACTCTGCAGTTGCCTGCAAAACCCCGGCGGGCGGCGGGCGAGCTCTCCAGGTGCCAGGCTTTGACCCCCCCCCGGCCTCTGACAGACAGCACTCTGCAGGGCTGGGCCTCTGTACTCTGAGTGTACGTGGGCGCAAATCCCTCAGAAAGCAAATCCCTCGGCTGTGCCTGCCCCGGCCAGTGAAATCCACGGCCCCGCAGAGCAAGTGGGGCATCCAAGCGACCACGACCAGCTGGCTTTCATCTTCCCTGGGCCTTGGGCTTAAAGTCTGGCCCAGAATAAAGCTTCAGCTTTCCCTGACCAGTCTGAGGGTAAAAAAAAAAAACCCA